GGGACCGGCAACGGGATTGCAACCCTCGGTGTTGCTCCCGCGCCTCGCTCAGCCAGTGAGCGGGAACCGGTCTGTATGTGGGATCCGAACCCTCGGGCGGGAGCGCCGCCACGCTTCCCAAGCAGTGCACTATCCAGTGCGCCACCGGGCTGGCCCGGACATGTTTCTATTTCTAATGCCCAAGAGATACCAGAGGAAAGGATCTGGGTCAGCCTCAACCCACCCCATTCTCTTACCAGGTTCTTGACTGCCACAGGAAAGAATTCAAGAGCAGAGTCACAGTGGAAAGTGAAAACAGGTTTAATATACAGACTAAGAAGTACAGACTTTGTAAGAAAAGTGCAGCCTAGCTCCACAGACCGAGAAGGGCCCACACTAAGTTTAATACAAAAGCGGAAATACACTCTTAAAGTTTACTACAAAGTGCAAACTGGCTCAAGAGAGTGAGCAGCTGCCTGCTAAAAGCAAGTTTAATACAAAAATAAAGCATACACACCTTGCCAGCAAGATGTGGGTTGGTCCCAGGGAAAGTGAGCAACCAACCCTGCTTTCTACTTTTATCGGTTTACTATCTAATACATATTCATACTGTCTAATGTATATTCTACTATGGGGGTGATTCCCAGTTATGTGACATAGTCTTGCATGTGCTCAGTTGGTCTTTTTTAATGCATGCTCATTGGTCAAATTCCACCATATGCACTAAATATATTAAAGAATATTCAGTCTCCAGTGCCGCCAGTGGAAGGCCATTCAAAAAATAAGTTTTGCTTTATTGAGCATGCTTCGCCACTAGCCTATGTCAATATGCATGAACTCCTCTCTACTGAACATGGTCAGCCACTGGACTTGCATAAATCTGTCCCCTATAGGCTCAATCTCTCCATGTTGGTACCATGTTACAATAAGCAACAATGACTCTCCTCTAGGGGAGGGCATAGAGGAGGAGTCTGAGGCTTTGGGGAGTGGTTTGAAACTGAAACCCTTGGAAACTGAGCACCTGCTATCTCACAAGTACCAAACTTTGTTATTATTTATTCACAGAATTTATACCTCTTCATTTTTATTATGAAATATTTAAACATACTGAAAGTCATGATTTTTTGTTAGAAGATTCTGGGCATTTTGAAGGCAGTAATATGTTTTATATATATATAACGTATATATACATAACATATATAACATATATATACACATAACATATATATAACATATATATACATCACACACACAGACACACACACACACACACAAACATATATATATATACTTTTTTTTTTTTTACCTTGGTGGCTGGCCAGTATGGAGACCCGAACCCATAGCATTATGCTCTAACCAACTGAATTAACCAGCCAGCCCATTTTATTACTTCTTATTCCAGTTCATTACTTCAGTATTTGAGCTCTTAGGCAATTGAGACAAGTGAAATAACTTTGTAAAATCTAAAGCTTTAAATAAATGGTAGTTATTCTGTTAGAAGTAATATGTTATTCTATGAGGCAATGAACCTTTCAGTTCTTTGTTGCATTGTTTACATTTTGAGCTTCAGTGAAAATTCCAAACATGTGCCTTTTACTGCCTATCCCAAGTGTACGTTTTTCTTCTACTATATAGCATTGCAGTGAATGAAACTTTCAGAAACTTATTTCCAAAGAAATTTTTAGTATATTCTGTTCCCAGTGGGTTCTCTTTCATTTCTGTTTTTGCTTTTATCTCTATATAAATCCTTCTTATCCACATCTCCAATTGTGTCCCCATCGATACTTTCTACTTCAGTTACGAACAATAGAATGTGGACTTTTTACCTTCACCATTTTATGATTTTGAGTATCTCACATAAAGACACATTTAGCTTGTGGTGTTTGTGCCCCTGGGCAACTCCAGAACATCTGATATACCTCTGTCTTATCTCTTTGTCTCTTCTCTCTTCCCTTTTCTTTTTTTTTTTTAACAACTACTTTCATTTCCTTTCCCTTTTTTCTTCTCCTCTTCCTCTGTTTTTCCTGTCTTAGGGTGGCATCTGTGACCATTGTTTAACCCTAATGGTTGTGCCCTGTGCTAACGAGTTATCTAGATTAGATGTATTTTATGGAGAGAGATGCTTGTTCTGTTCTCTCAAATAATGTAGGGACTGAGTACAGGAAGCTATTGGACTACACATGCTCAGGGTGGTTCTCAAACTTGACATTTTTGCCTGAAAGTTTACCTATTTTGAATGCTTAGATTTAAGGACTTATATCAAGGCAAAAAATCATATTTTTCAGGTGTTATTTTTTGATGATGTCATTATGACCAAATTGGGTTTTGTTGTAAACTAAATAATATCATTTTATATTTTATTATAAAAGAAAAGCAAACTTCCTATTTAATTTAAATCCAACTATTTAACTTACATTTTTTAATTTACTCATTTAGGTATGGATGGCAGAACAGAAAATATCATATGATAAAAAGAAACAAGAAGAATTAATGCAACAGTATCTTAAAGAACA